ATGTTAGGTCCCTGTTTGACCGGTGTTAGAGCTTGGTCTGCATTGCCACCAGTGCTGGGCTTATTTCCTGTAAGAGCTGGACTTCGCCAAGGCTGCCCTTTGTCACCAATTCTGTTCATAACTTTTATGGACAGGATTTCTAGCAGCAGCCAAGGTGTTGAGGGGACATTTTGGTGGCCTAAGGATCAGGTCTTTGGCTTCATCAGAACGTGATATCTAGCTCCCAGAGGAGTGGTTCACAGCCGAGTGTGAAGCAGCTGGGAGAATCAGCTCCTGTAAATCCAAGTCTTGATTCAGAAAAGGGTATGCTTTCTCCAGGTCAAGGACAAGGTCCTGCCTCAAGTAGTGGAGTATAAGTATCTCTTGCTCATAAGTGAGGGAAAGATGGAGCCTGAGATCGATAGATGGATTTTGCTTCGCCCTACAGTACAGCGGGTGTTGTAACGGTTTGTCAAGGTAAAGAGAGAGCCTGGTCAGAGGGCAAAGCTCTTGATTTACCAGTGGATCAACATTCCTACCCTCACCTATGGTCACAAGCTTTGGGTAGTGACCGAAAAAACAAGATTGCAGATGAAAGCAGCTGAAATGAGCCAGTTGAGGAGGCTCGGGCATCTCATTGGGATGTCTCTTCCCTAGTGAGGTTTTCCAGGCACATCAAACCAGGAGGAGACCTAAAGACCCAAGACATGCTGGAGGGACTGTGTTTCTTGGCTGAACAAGGAATGCCTTTGGGATTGCCCCAGTTAACCTGGCCCAAGTGGCTATGGGAGAGAGAAGTCCGGGCCTCTCTGCTTTGGCAGCTGCCCCCGCGACCCAACCTTGGATAAGTGGACGAGAGTGGATGGAGGGATGGCTTACATTTCATGGAAGGGGAGAATCCAGTCTAAAATTGGCATGATTATGTAAACTGGGCCTCAAATCTTTTGACCCTGTTGTCTTCTCAGTGAGGTGCAGGCTCATTCATAGACCAAGAGGCCACACCATGCACACATTTATCTGTTATTCATGCAAAAAAATAATAAATAAACAACATGCAACTTGTTTTGTCAAAACATGAAGTTATTTTGGGAAATTCCAGTTTTTATCCTTTAGAAAACAAAACAGAATAATTAGAGTGACAGCACAAATACCTTTCCATTGTTTTCCCGGATTCTGAAGCGTAACCGAGGAACAGCGTAAACAGATTTCATAGGTCTGCTTGTGTAACTGCTGTTAGTTTTATAATACTTAGTCAGGTTTCCTCTCTGGTTCCCATGCGCCCAGTCGCTGACCAGTCACTGACCTGTGCAGCCAGTGGCACCAGAGTGAACCCTGTTAAAAACGTGGCCAAGTTCACAGCGGCTGAGTGTTCATCAGATAACAACTTTGGCAGAGATACAAGGTCCTGCAGCGGGCACAAATAGGCCAGGCTGTGTGTGTCCCATTAATTTTCTGCCACATTACTTCACCCAGTTTTTGCCTGTGGATGAGGGCAGTCAGGTGGAGGTGCTGGTTGGGTCGTTGTTCTTAGCAGTGATCTCTGTGTGATCACACTTTTAGTTTCACTTAATATTGTGTGAAGAGACGATTTTCTCTTGTGAAGGAGACAGAGTGTTGGGGACCCTAAAGCTGTTGTCGGTAAGTCTTGGCTGATTTGGTAACACGTTTGTTTATTCACTGTTGGAATACTTGTGTTTTACACGATTGTATCTCATTTTGAACTCTTTAGGATTTATCCCTTTTCTAAACCATCAGCTGACTAAAAAACAAGAGTCCGACCTGAAAAAATAATAAATCAGACCAACCTATTGTCCTCCACCTCAGACTTGAGCCTTTAATCATTATTCCTATTTCTCCATCATATTTATTTCTGCTGCGTATTGATCTCCTATGTTGAAAGCTTGTCTGAAGACTGCCTATCTGATGAAGAAACATCCCAAAGTTCCCACAAACAGCTTTTGAATCCCATCAAATTTTTTTGAGCTTCTCAAAAAGACAGTCAAACTTAGCCCGTTCTTTCCTGAATGCGAACAAAAGCAGAAATAACCAGCTGGAACTGCAGGTACCTCCACCAAAACACCTGAGAAGTGGGTGTGAATGAATTCAGCCCTGAGGGGATGAAGAAGGGATTTTCCACAGGTTTGGAACTCGCTGACAGCCACTTCCGAGGTCATACCCATCAGAGTTATGAAACCAGCCCAATCACGTAATATCACAGCAAACAGCTCCTGGGTAGTTTTTATGAATCTGTAGAAACATCAGCAGTCTGGAGTTTCTCTTCTCTGAAATGGAGGTTACATGATTCACAGGAACTGAGCAGTTACACCTAACTAGAATTCATTCCTGACTAATTAGTTGTCAGGAATGCAGCTGTAAGCTAATTATGGAAGACTGTCCCCAGATGAGCCTTTACAAGACATTAAACTGGTTTCAAGTACAGATGCAAAAAAATTCTGACTTTTATTAAGATCAGCTGTAAAAGTCTGAATTTGTAATAATAAACACATCCAAGAACATCTTTGATGGCAATGTAGGAAAAGAAGCTAAATATAAGTCTTCTTCATCTCTCCTGTGTTATCAAAGATGGAGGCCATCCATGCGTAAGTCTGGATCTAAAATAACTTCAGAGCTCTGGTTCGTTCTGCTGGTGGATTATTGCTGATTCTACCATGATCTGTGTCCTCTTGCTTCAGATGCTTTAGTTTTAGGGTCCCATAGGACGTTCCGCATCCTGATCCAGTTCCCAAGTAAGTGGATCCCAGTCTTCCGAGTCTCTTCACGGGTCTCGGTTTTTTTTTATGATCTCCGCATCTTTTCATCTTAAAGAGCAAGTCACTCCAAATCAACTTTTCTTTTTTGCTGAAAAACTACAGGTGCTGGCCAGTAAATTAGAATATCATCAAAAGGTTGAAAATATTTCAGTAATTCCATTCAAAACGTGAAACTTGTACATTATATTCATGCAATGCACACAGACCAATGTATTTCCAATGTTCATTACATTTAAATTTGATATTCATAAGTGACAACTAATGAAAACTCCAAATTTGGTATCTCAAAAAATTAGAATATTCTGAAAAGGCTGAATATAGAAGACACCTGCTGCCACTCTAATCAGCTGATTTACTCAAAACACCTGCAAAGGCCTTTAAAAGGTCCCTCAGTCTTGTTTTGAAGGCACCACAATCATGGGGAAGACTTCTGACTTAACAGCTGTCCAAAAGACAATCATTGACACCTTGCACAAGGAGGGCAAGACACAAAAGGTGATTGCTAAAGAAGCTGGCTGTTCGCAGAGCTCTGTGTCCAAGCACATTAACAGACAGGCGAAGGGACGGAAAAAATGTGGTAGAAAAAAGTGTACAAGCTCTAGGGATAACCGCACCCTGCAGAGAATTGTGACGACAAACCCATTCAAAAATGTGGGGGAGATCCACAAAGAGTGAACTGCAGCTGGAGTCAGCGCTTCAAGAACCACCACGAGGAGACTCATGAAAGACATGGGATTCAGGTGTCGCATTCCGTGTGTCAAGCCACTCTTGAACAAGAAACAGCGCAAGAAGCGTCTCGCCTGGGCCAAGGACAAAAAGGACTGGACTGATGCTGAGTGGTCCAAAGTTATGTTTTCTGATGAAAGCAAGTTCTGCATTTCCTTTGGAAATCAAGGACCCAGAGTCTGGAGGAAGAGCGGAGAAGCACAGAATCCACGTTGCATGAGGTCCAGTGTAAAGTTTCCACCGTCAGTGATGGTGTGGGGTGCCATGTCATCTGCCGGTGTTGGCCCACTCTGTTTCCTGAGGTCCAGGGTCAATGCAGCCGTCTACCAGGAAGTTTTAGAGCACTTCATGCTTCCTGCTGCTGACCAACTTTATGGGGATGCAGACTTCACCTTTCAACAGGACTTGGCACCTGCACACAGTGCCAAAACCACCAGCACCTGGTTCAAGGACCATGGTATCCCTGTCCTTGATTGGCCAGCAAACTCGCCTGACCTTAACCCCATAGAAAATCTATGGGGTATTGTGAAGCGGAGGATGCAATACGCTAGACCCAACAATGCAGAGGAGCTGAAGACGACTATCAGAGCAACCTGGGCTCTCATAACACCTGAGCAGTGCCACAGACTGATCGAGTCCATGCCACGCCGCATTACTGAAGTTATTGAGGCAAAAGGAGCCCCGACTAAGTATTGAGTGCTATACATGCACATTCTTTTCATGTTCATTCTTTTCAGTTGGCCAACATTAGAGAAACAAACATTTTTTCATTGGCCTTTAGAATATTCTAATTTTCTGAGATACCAGATTTGATGTTTTCATTGGTTGTCACCTATAAATATCAAATTTAAATGTAATGAACATTGGAAATACATTGGTCTGTGTGCATTGCATGAATATAATGTACAAGTTTCACGTTTTGAATGGAATTACTGAAATATTTTCAACCTTTTGATGATATTCTATTTTACTGGCCAGCACCTGTATATAAATGAGTGTCTGATTGTGCTGCAGACACATGTAGTCAATACCTCGGCACTTTAGTGCATCTTAGTTAAAATTTAAATATTCTGCCTAAAACTGTCAGCGATGCACCGTCATCAGGTAAAAACTCAGCACTGCATTTGAGTTTAAATCTGCCGTCGCTATTGGCTTTTGAGGTACACTATGACGTAAGATGGTGCATTATGATGTCACAATGTCGTGAGTGTGTGTATTTGTTAGCGGCTACGCCCTCTCGGTCTGCTAGGCAACAGCATTTGTTGCATTTTTCAAACAGAAAGTGGGAGTTGGTTAAGAATCTGGTAGGGGGTGACTTGCTCTTTAAACAAAAACCAAGAAGAATACCATTTATTGTACTTCTGATATTTGTTTGATGTGTTAAAGTTTATGCTGAGGTTTAAATATTAGTTGCTGATGGAGGGAGCAACAATTCAAGGAAACACCAATATACCCCACCTCCACCTCCACCAGCAGCACAGATAAAAAAAACACGAGTGTTGGCGTGAAATAAAACTCACAAAGCAAGTCTATCACTTGTTTATCATAGTCTAATGATCTGTGACCTGTACAGTGGCTACATCTGAAACACTCAGTGAAAACACAAACCTCATACAGGATCCATAAAGTGGAGAAAGTGCTACCTCCTTCTATATCTGTCTGTGAGATTTCACAACACATCTGTTTAGCTAAAGACCAACAGAAACAGTCCATAATAACAATAATAACCCTCAGTAGGAACTACACTAAATACAAATAAGAAACAGTCTTTTACATGAAAGGTTAGTAACAGATATGATACCTCTGCGTTTTAAATACAGCTTATTTAGATAAACACTTCATTTATTACACGCATAAAACCCTGTCCACGTCTATCACTGCTGATAAAAACAACATGTTAAACCCAGAGTTCTCACTGATGATGGAACCAACTTGTCAAAAGTACACGTTCCACACTGAAAGATCCAGTCTCGTGTTAGTGTCCAAACTTGTCCAGTTTCTGTCCTTCAAGAGACAGGAAGAGTTTGGTCTGTGTGTCCATCAGTCCAGCATTCATTCCAGCTAGAGCAGGAGCACGTTTCTACAGAGATGGATTCCCCGTAGCCTGGCTCCAAGACACGTCAGAGACAGCACACAGCAGGTGGATACTGCTGATCCCAACCTTCTCAGAGTTCGAACTCAGGTTTGTTTTAGTCGGTGCACACGAGAATGAAAACTACAGACAGATCAAAGAGATTAAAGTAGCAGAAACATGTCAGTTAAGTTTCCTGAACTCTCCTGGCATTTAGATGAACCTGAAGTCATATTAGGATTCTTCAAGCCAGATTAAGGCTCTAATCTCATTAATTAAAACTGATTTACAGAATAAAAAGATCAAATGTTTCTGTTTTCTCCTTCTGAGTAAAAACCGTCCATCTTAATAACTTAAATGTATTCAAGGGATAAAACCACTAAACGTTTCTATCACAACTACAGAGAAGAAGTGCAGCAGGCCGGCGGAGAGAACCCCTTCATGTCTGTGAAGATGGAAGCAGGTCAGCTGAACCATCAGAACCAGTAAAGACCTGTCTGTTTGCTTGGAGAACATTTCCAGAAGCAGAAAAGCTTGAACGACCACCTGGGTGAGCGTTATGAGAGTTCCTCTGTCCTGTCTTTGCCTACAGCAGGTCGCCGTAGGAGAAATGCACGTGCAGCCCGTTTACCGGGTGCACTATTGGAACTGTTTGCATTTTGGGGAACTTCTCTGTTGCCAGGGTCCATTTGCATGTCCCGACCAGCTCCACGGCCAGAGTTTTAAGGATGATCTGAGCCAGTTCTTTCCCAACACAGCTACGCATGCCCCCGCCAAATGGCACATAGCTGAACCGAGATGAGCGGCTCTCATCCCGCTCCGGGCCGAACCGGTCCGGGTCGAACAGCTCGGGGCTCTGAAAGGTCGGTGCGGTCTCATGTGTGTCCCGGATGCTATACATCACACTCCAGCCTTTGGGGATCTGGTAGCCCTGCAACACAAGAACAAGCAGGATTAAATGTATTAATGCAGTCCTTTAGGATGGTTGAGCAAACATTGATCAGAGAGAGCTGAAACTTGCAGGCATGCTGAGGGGGAAGGCAGTCTGCACCGTTACTCTGCTGTATCTCTACGACCCATCCCATTTCAAATGAAATCTTTTATTTTCAGTAATTGGGAACATTCTCAGTTGAATATGGAATGATCTCAGACCATTCATTTACTCACATCAGGTGTATCAATGTGGCTGCGGCAGAGCTCATGTTTGGACACTAACAGGAGATTAAATGTGTTATTATCTGTAATTTCTCTGGAAGGGTTGTTTCTTTTCTCAGCCACTGAGGACTGTTTGCACAGAGTTGATGACTGTTTACAGGCTGACACGACATCACAGGGATGGTAAACTATTATTTACCATCACTCAGGTTAATTGGGTTTAATGCACCAGTAATGTAGTAATGTAGTGTAGTCAGTGCATTCTGAGATTTTCACTAATGTTCTTGCTAACTATTATTGGATACCAAGCTTCATTGTTTGTACAAATATTTAGCCTGTTTTTCTTACATTCAGCACTTTTACATTTACTTCCTAAAAATCAACATTTACCACAATCTCATCTAAATGTTAAATCTAAACCTAAAAGTTAAATATGAATCCTAATCTGTGACCTAATCTTTTGGTTATAGAGAAAGTATCCACACTTTAAAAACTATTGACCCTTTGCACGCAACGTCACACCAGCCATGGGACCGCCCCCTCCGCCATGATGGACGCCAGAAAGATTGTTCACACTGGTTGAAACTCCTGTGAAGCTGGTCAGAACAAGCCAGAGTGTAGCCTTTTATCCTAGCCTTTGACTTAGTGGATTTCACAGTGAAATCGTAGTTTGCTGCGAGGTTGGCTGCAACAGACAAGGATGTGAACACATCTTGTTTTTTTAATAACTTGATGGAAGCTAAAGACTGAAGGACTAGTAGCCAAAAGTACTTTTGAATTTGCAGCAAACATTTTTTACTGGGTCACATTAACATTTGTTTATTTCAACAGAAAGACAGGAACTAACCCTAACCCACGCTAAACATCACAACAACAACAACAAAAACCTGAGTCTCAGGCTCTACTTTTCCTCCTGTTTAGTATTCGTGTCGCTCACTGTTTACATCCTTTTGACAACCGATATGGTGGACCCACGTGATTAGGTGACTTAAGGGTCAATTTGGCATTTGTGGCCCTGCCTACCAAACAGACGACCATCGGTGCTCACTTTCGATACAGACTGTGCTTCACAGACTTAGCTCTCAGATTTAATTTTGATATGAGATTTAAAATTTGGATTTAACATGAATTTTAAACATATCACCTCCATTTAGATTAAACTTTAAATTTTTAATTTAACATTTAGATTTAGATGAAACTTAGATTTAAAGGTGCTGGACAGAGGGACGTTTTCTTTGAATCACACGTGTAAAGCGAATCAAACACTAAACAGAGTTTCTGCATTAGCATTATAGCAGATGGCAATGTCTGAATCCTCTATAGTCATCCGATTTTCCTCTCTGGAATATGGCAAGGAGAGTGGTTATTGGAAAGCCCCAGAGTGGTACCCGCACAGCTGGACTCAGACAAGAGGCAAGTTGATCGGGACGCTAACGGTAAAAAGCGATATGGAAGGATGGTCTTCAGAACCCTACTGTTTATTTACTTTTATTGTGTGTTTCATTCCTGTGCTCGCACATAGCAGCTTAGCTTAGCAGAGCTAGCTGCTTAAGTATATTTCAATAATCTACAGAAAATAAAACGACATGCTGCCAGTTTGATCGCTGCGAGTGCGTGTTACACCACTCCAGAACATACTGATCAATAGCGTACCAGAATGACCTCTCCTCATCGGACTTACTCTCTAGCCGACTGTTGTCCAGGAGGGACTCATTAAGTGAGCTGACACTGAATATCAAACAACTGGCTAAAATTTAGCAGGAATATTTTACTTTTGGTATTCCGCAGAAGTGTGCAGACATTACTGGACATCTGGGAATGCACCGACTACACTACAATTACATTATTGGTACAATAAACTGTGGTGTGCCATAAACTCCAGTAGATACAAATAAACACAGAATATGTTTTTGTTTTGTTTTTTCTTTCTGCACAAATAAAGTCATTTTTTGGCTAACAGATTTTTTCTATGTTAGGCAACACTGTTCCAGAAGGAAAGGTAAACAACTACGATTGTTGTCAGATAAGTGCAGCGGTGAAGAAATCCTGGACTTACATCCAGTTCAAAGGTCTGCAGAGCGGTGCGGTAACCCCCGGATACCGGCGGCAGGATCCGGAGCACCTCTTTAACGACACAGTCGACATACTGGAGCCGACTCAGCTTGTCCAGGGTCAGGTAGGGGACATGAGCTCGGGGACAGGGAAACCCTTCCTCTGCACTCTGACAGCTGCCGTTCTCTGTTTCAGCAGCATCCTGATCTTTTACTGCATTGACACAAGGCAGCTCGTGGTTCTGGCTCTGCTGATGGATGAGGCCCTCAGCCTCCAGTTGCACCCGGGTCTTCTCCACTACCTCTGGGTAGCGGAGCAGCTGCAGAACCAGAGATGTGGAGGCGCTGGCTGTGGTGGAGTGAGCAGCAAAGATCAGCTCAACTGCTATTTCCTGAAAGACAGAAAACAGACAGTTGAGGTTTTATTCACTGGACCTGGACTTGTGTCTCAGAACCAAATGAGCCTCAGCATCTACAGCTGGACCTCTGGTAAAAGGATCACCGAGTCAAAATCATCCCACTTTTCTGTTTGCGCATCAGATCACAACAACCACGTGATCTCCTGACCTGACATCAGCCCCGATCACACCACAGATAATAAGACTGTCACTATTCTGATGTGCAGCCCATCATGCAGTTCAGTAGCATCTTCTGTGATGAATTTCACACGTCTGTCTCTGACTCCCATCTCTCTGTGATATTTTGTTAGTGAGGACGGTACGGAGGTCTGGTACCTTGAGCTCCTGGATGCTGAGCTGCTGCCCACTCTCCTTGGCGCTGGAGAGCATGTAGTCAAAAGCATCCTGATATTCATCTTCCACCTGCTGCCTCGCCATCTTCTCCTCGATGATCTTCTCCATGTTGGCGTACAGGATCTCTCTGGCTTTGATCCCCTGGAAAGAGAAATGATTGCTGTGTCATCAGTGCCCCTCCTGAACCCAGAAACATCTAGAACATCTGGAGAGAACCTTTTACCTTTCGCAGCCCACTGAGCGGAGCATCTATGGGGAGGGAGAAGAGGTTGTTCATCAGCTGCTCAAAGGTCTTAGCCAGGTAAACGATCCGTTTCTCCTGCAGCCGTAGATCAAGCAGGACGCCCACAGCAACGCGGAACGTCAGAGACTTGGCTGCGCTGTACACATCAATGGCGACGGGCTCGGAACACCACTTGGCAATTTCTGATTTGATTACATCCTGCAGCCGGGGCAGGTAGGACTCCAGAGCCCCCCGGCTAAAGACTTTGGCCACAATCTGAAAGGGATCAGAAACAGACAGGAGTCACCTTGGACCTGAGAGATCCGAAGTCCTCCCCATGGTCATGGTCTCACCTTTCTCTTCTTCCTGTGCAAGTCTCCAATAGAGTTGACCAGGGTGTTGGGTCCCAGGATTATGCGGGTGCTCTGGGGCCACTGGGTGCACACCAGGCTGTGCTCCCCCAGCAAGATCTTCCGGATGTTTTCTGCACCTGTCACCCGGATGAGGGGCTTTCCCAGGAGGTGGGTCTTAAACACATTTCCATAACGCTCCCGACGTGAGATGTGGAAGTTAGAACCCTGAGGTGTGAACACAAATGCTTAAATATATGAAACAGGAAGACAAATACTCCATTTCAAACTCCAAATTATAAACATTAAGGATATATGTGATTGGCTGATTAGTTCTCCACAAACTGAGCCACATTTAAAAGGAATTGCATGTTAGAAATGTATCCGTTTATTAATTTAATAAACAGGAGCTGCAGTAGCATGAGGAGGAACCAACAACAGCCACACAGTCTGACTCCTCCCCCTCAGCCTGCTGGATGGACCAGTCACCACCAAGCAGTCAGCCAGTGCGGCTGTGATGAGCAGTCTGGTACTATCAGCCGGGTCCACACGCGCACGCACGCGCATGTACACGCACGCATACAATTTTGAATTTAATACCATGAAGCAAAAATCACCACAGAAATCATCAATCACGTTCTCCTTCTGTTTGTTTGGAAACTTAAATGTATTTTAATTATTATTATAATTTTTTTGGTCTGGTTGAATATTTAATTCATGCAGCAGAAGTATTCCCGATGGAGCGCAGAGCGCGTGTGTAGGAGGACATGACAAACATTTGAAGGTAAAAGGCTTCCAGGGTTCTGGTGCTGATTTTCAGTAAATTATGTAAAACTTCTGATCAACACGTTGGGCTCTTTACTGGGAGGATGAACGCACGTGCTCATATCAAAGCGCAGGTAAAGTAAACTAAAGCAGTGATGAGACAAAAACGAAGTAATTCTGAGAAGTGAGGGGAAATAAACGATATTAATAAAAATCTTAACATTTATTTTGTTTTATTGCTGTTTAATTTTCCGCTCAGAGTAACAAGGTAAAGATGGACGGAGGAACCGAACAGAACCGCGTTCCCGTGCCTGCTCAACACCTGAGCCGCTCCAGAAAATCCTCAGAACCCACCTGGAACAGCCAGTGGAAGGTCTCCCCGACCAGCGGCCAGCCCATCGAGCCCTTGGGCAGCGGCAGGCCCGACTCCTTGTCCCGGGTCAGGCTCCAGCGGAGGCTCCACAGCTGGCGAGTCAGCACCAGCAGCAGCACCGCTGACAGAACCGATGTGAGCGTGGTGACCAAAGCCGACAGAACTCCAAATTGGGCCAGGGCGAACATCTCCCAACTGGTCCACTTCTCAGCATCGAGCTGCCTCTGCGCGTTAGAAACCGAGTCCGGACCTCTCCAGTCCTGCTCTCCTTTCCTCTCGTGGGAATTCTGCTCAACGAGAAGAAAGGCGAGTTTGTTCTGGATCGAATCAGAACATAAAAGTTAGAAACCAAAAATGGGGCAAATATTTGAGGAAGGCTCTGAACCGGAGTCCGTGCGCCATGGAGCTAATACGCTGTTATTGTAGCTAATTGGACCAGAGGGGGTTCTGATCCCTCCTGATAGTTCACACACACACACACACACACACACACACACACACACACACACACACACACACACACACACACACACACACACACACACACACACACACACACACACACACACACACACACACACACACACACACACACACACCTGACGGATGCGCCTCCAGATATGAGGAGGCGCAGGAGGACGAACGCGCTCCTCCTGGGTGAGGAGTAGCTGTCAACTATTCCAAATAGTTTTACAGGTCTGCGTGCGCCGGCTTGTCTATGAGGTTCTACCCCAGTGTAGGTACAGTTGGGGGGCTCCGCCGCCCCCCGGGCCCTCTCACAGGTAATAAATATGGGTACAACGTCTGACGGAGGACTTCAGAAAATTTTCACAGAAATGAGATGAGTTCTGAGCGCAACAAACAAACAAACAAACAAATAAATAAGCAAACACCCGCGAGGATCCAGATCAGTGAGAATGAAAATCAAGTATGAGAGGAGTCCGCCTACCTCCTACACACTGCGCCTCCGAGTCCTTTTGCACTTTGACAAACCTCCCTCTCTCCTTCTGGACCGAACCGGTGCGCTCCTGCTCCTGCAGACGGAGGGGGCTGCAGCAGGTTTTATAGAACCGGTCCACCTTCCGCCGGTGACGTTACCGAGGCTCGTTCATTCACGGCGCGGAACGGACTCGCGGCTCCAAGAACAAAAAAAAAAAAAAGGAAAAGGTTTGAAGAACCAGTAGAGACGCAGCTGTGCGTGCGCGCGTTTGTGTGTGTGTGTGTGTGTTGTGATGGCAGCCAATAGGGAGAAGGCTCAGGAGCCAATCAGCGGGGATCAGCGCAGAGGTTTTGGCGCAGTTCAGACCGCAGCTTCAGTTCAGCGCAGCCTGGTTGGAGCGGAACAGGAGTCTGGACTAAAAACACAATTCCTGAACTTCCCACTTCTTCCCGTTTGTCTCTGTGTCGTGATCATGTCATTCACCCCCTTTTATTTAATAATAATAATAATAATAATAATAATATGAAGAAGAACAAAAATATAAACAATTATTATTAGTAGTAGTGGTAATAATATTACATTATAATTTATTAATATTGTTATTGTTGTAGTTAGTTATTATTATAATTATCATTATATAATTATAATTATTATTATTACTGCTATTATTAATATTATTAGTAGTAGTAGTATTAATAATATTATTAATTATTATTATTATTATTATTATCATTATTATTATTATTATTATTAATACTATTATTATTGTTATTATTATTATTATTATGTCATTGATTTCATCAGAAGATGTGTTTCTCTTTTTGCGTACAGGTGATTTTTAGAACGAACTCTAAGTTTTAAACAGTGAGTTTATATTTATTCTGTGATTCGGGTATAATTCGATGTTTGACGCACCTGAAGGTTTCATGCTGAGACTTCCTGTTGCTCCGCGTTCAGAGCCGCGCTGATCTTGTCCCAGGTTCGGGTTCAAACGAAACAGAACCGCCATTAAGTCAAATACAAATTAAAATGTGCATAAATAATTTTATTTGCTAATGAAAAAATGTTTTACATTTTAAATATCAATTAAACAAACGAATGTTTTAACCTTGATTATGAAGAAGTCGATATTAAACTTAATATTATCAATTATTGTCTAAAGATGCTGCAGGTCGCTGATTTAGAGGAAATTAAATATATATGAAGATGACACAATGACATCATTGTAGACTTCTCCACACAAATAAAAATGCATTCGTTTCTCCGAAAATTTTTTCTTTTTCGTTTTCATTCAGAGAAAAAAATCGTTTTTACTGCAGATGACTTTTTGTTATGATTTAAATCATCACTTAAGTGTGACGTGATCTCTAAATATTGTTTTAAATACTTTTTTAAAATCAGAAACTCTGTTTTGGCCCTGGAGATATTTCTTGTATTTTTCTGCTGCACATTTTTGGTTAATATATATATATATATATATATATATATATATATATATATATATATATATATATATATATATATATATATATATATATATATATATATATATCTTTGCAGTGAAAATAAAGAAATCGCACGTGCTTCCTCCCATGCTTTACATTATCAGCAATAAAACCGTAGAGCCGTTCAAGTCAAATGAATCCAACATTAAAATATTTTTCTAAAATGAGGCCCTAAAATCACAAGCCTCCTCCTCCCTCACCCCCCCTCCCTCACCCCCCCTCTCCCCCCCCCCCCCCCCCCCCCCCCCACCCACACACACACACCCACCCACCCCCCGACGGGTTTCTATGATCTCAGTATGACGTGAGTTGATCGAAGGAGATCCACATTCTTCTGCTTGAGACCTTTGGAGAATGCAAATGTTATGGAACTCCATCACCAGAGCTCTTTCAATCACTTTTTTCTGAGTTTCAGAAGAATTTTGTAAAAACAGATAAGGAAACAGAAACTTTTAGTTCAAGATCTTTAAAGCTGATTTGGGGGGGGGGGGGGGGGGGGGGGGGGGGGGGATTTGACATTTAAATAAAAAATGCTTTCATTATGAACTAGTGATAAAAACCTACTGCTTCAGATGTGTTTTCAGCAAGATCTTTAGCATGGTGGAGCTCTCAACTTCAGAAGACATTTTCTAATTTTAAATAATTTGGTTGGCTGAAGATCACCAGAATATTTTTATTGTGACATTCAATATAAAAAGCAAAATCAGATTACCCTAGATTTAAAACTAAGACAGATGACTTCATAAGTAGTGTTGTGAAGGCATGTCTTTAAACTAGAAGATCTCCACACACACACAACACTGTCCTCCTCTGATCTGTCTCCTGTTTGTCCCATCATACACCAGGATCTCCTCAGACACTTAAAGGAACCTTCCTCTAATCCTGCTTGGAGCTTTTAAAAGCTTCTGTAAATGAAACCTTTATCCTGTGGCGCCTCAGGGTGTTTCATCCTCAACAGTTTGTTCTCCAGATCTGGTTTCAGCCTCAAAACCATGACAGATGGGAGCTGTTGGCTCAGATCAGAGCTTTTTGTGTTGGATTATTCATCTCTATCTGATATCAGCCTGTGTGTGTGTGTGTGTGTGTGTGTGTGTGTGTGTGTGTATGTGTGTGTGTGTGTGTGTGTGTGTGTGTGTGTGTGTGTGTGTGTGTGTGTTTGGGCCTGAGGGCTGATTTTCAGTGTGTTACCCTCCACTGTTGTTTAAAAGGGGGACCACAGGGTGTGCTCCAACCACAGGGTGAACACACTCCTGAGGCTCCCTGGTAAGGTCTGATCAGGAGTTCTGGAAAGGAGGTCCGTCAGATGGTCGAACCTCGGATTCAGTCAATGTGGTTTTCTTAAGGAGGGTTCTTTCGGCTCAGCCTTTGATTGACTGGGTGTCTTATGTTCCAACCCTAGTGACGGAAAGAATGACATCACAGATACAAGCAACTAAAATGAGTTTTCTCCACAGTGTTTCTGGCCTCTCCCTTACGCCACTGCACACTGGGAGCAAAAGAGGCGCAGAACGCCAGCAGAACGGTTTACTTGCGACAGTCACACCGGGAGAGTCTCAGCAGTTTCTCTACCGTGCTCCTCGCTTTACTCACAAGATCACAAAATCCCTCGAGACATCCACCAACCTCCTCGCGAGAGATCACACGATCCCTCGAGACTTCAAACGTTATGGTTTGTTTATACAATCTGCCTTTAAACCAAACAGAAGGAAGGGTTGTTCCTCTCAACCATCAGGATTAAAGCTATGAAAACACACTATGCACTTCTGGAACAATGCTGTAAGTAATGTCGTTTGGTCACACGTAAGCTTTGTTTACATGAAATTGCATTGCTGCAATACTTTTATTTTGAAAGTTACCAGGGATTTTACACATAAATTAAGTGTAATCCCTGTTTAGCCCTATGCTAACTGCAGTAATTGCATTCTTCAGAAGCGGGCTCCTGGAAAAAATTGAACCCAATCTTGTCTTTAGCGGCGACATCGTGCCGCTTCTGGTACGCGTCTGAAAATCACAGCATTGCAGCTGGTTTGTTACACTCCATAGCATGATGTAGTTTTGGAGGAGGGGGGGATGGGAGAACATGCCCCCCCCCCCCCCCCCCCCCCCACACACACACACACACACACACTTTTTCCGAAGAAAATTTTTGTCCCCTACACTTTTTACCATTCAAAAACAACATTACACTATATTAAATAGACACTGGTTGAGCACTAGGACCAAGCAGAAAACAACCGCTTGTGTTGAAGCCTTATTGGCTGCTGATACTTACTAATGTGTGACTAGCCATTCCTGCTGTCACTGCAGTTGTAAACAAGACATGCTTACTTTTTTCTAGTTTGCCAGCTGCCAGGGGGGTATTGAAGAAAGTCAATTTAGAACATCGGGGATCTCCTGATAAATCCGTGCTTGCCAAAGCGCTCCCCTCCCTTCTCGGTTTTGCGGGAAGCGAGGGCAGCACAAACTATTCTAAGGTGCATGTATGTACTCTATCGGCATTCAAGGCTCAAGCGCGTCCATAGGCAGCCCCTGTTAATCAATGCTAGGCATAAGAGAATGGACAAATGACAGAGGCTCTTTCTTCATCCAGACAGAGCAATAATTATTCATTCATGCCTGCGAGGACTACAAAAATATCAGAGCTAAAATAGAGACAATGAGCTGTTTGAAAAAAGCGCATTGTACATGTAACCATGGCAATGCCGAAAGTCCACTTCAGCTCTTGTTTCTCCAGATATTTAATTAAAGTTTTCATCATTTATGTGTCGTTTTCATGTTCTGCTCCAGAGTCTGGATGTTTAGAGACTCAAGGACTTTGTTTTTGCTGAGCAGCTGTGAGTTTTAAGAATACACATTTGTGGTGGTCACATGACCCTAAAGTTAATGCTGTAAACTTTAGAGATAGGGTGAGAAGGTCATCCGAGAGGGGCTCAGAGTAGACTCGCTGCTCCTCCACATCAAGAAGAGCCAGTTATGGTGGGTCTCCCTGGTGAGGTTTTCCGAACACGTCATTCCATGGCTTTAATCAGACTTTATAAGTCAAGAAGTAAAAGTAAACTCTAATGTCATCTGCATAGAAGTTCACCAAACCCCTGACCAAATGCAGGAAACCTGAACCAGTAAGAAAAATGTGTTGCTTTCTGGTGTACCATTTCAAACAGGCCTGGGTGGAAGAACAGGAGGCTGTTATAATGGAGAATTCATGGGCCAGGGCTCTTGAACTTGTCTACTCCTTTTTTCCCGGCACATGCCACTGACTAATTCAGTTTAATCTAGTCCACATGGCGTACATGTTCTAAAGACAAACTGTCCTGCATGCACCCTGAAATAAGCCCGTGTGTACCAGATGTAACCTCACCGAGCATTCCTCAGCCACATCTTTTGGTCATGCCCTTTCCTGGATAGATTTTGGAGAACTATTTTGGACGCACTATCCAGAGTTGACCTTAACTAAATCATGCTGTGTCTCTTTCTGGAGTCCTGGAAAATCAACAAAATCTTAATGATACCAAATATCTTTCTTTATCATCTGCCCTGCTTTTAGCCCGTATTGTTATTTTAGTCATATGGAAAGACACCGATCCTCCTGTCTAAAGCTAGAAAAGATAAGATGTTCATTATAACAACCCCGTGGCCCATCTTGTAAGCATTTACT